CCTCACCCCAAACCTCTTCTTTGTATGACGACTGGAGCAATACGCATTTCAGCGAGCTATGCCCCTGTTTATTCTTTTACTATCATTTTTTTCATGTTTCTTTTAGGCGAGACCACAGAGCTTCCAATAGAAGCAAGACAGTTCAGAGTGTCTCTAGGTTGGGCCTGTTGTCAGACACCCACCGGGGGTCTCCGGTGTAACCCAAATGCTATCACTACCCTTGGAGTTGTTTTGTACAGATAACTTCTTTTTAAAAAAAAAACGTACATGACTCACAAGTTCCACATGTTAGCTGTTCTACAAACACAGAGCCTAAAACATCTGAGTTCAATCTCTATAACTAGTTTCCACTATCTCATGCTAAACAGGGATTAAAACGAAGTTTAGCTATCACCAAATGCTTTTTCTGATGGCTAGAGACAGGACTTTGCACATGGCAGAGTTTGCCACCAAGTGTGGTTCATGTTAGCATAGCATGGGGCTGCGCTTAAAAGTTTTAAGCTGTGACCATCCTTGAGTAAACCATAAAGGTGTTAAAGAGCCAGGGGAATGTGTACATCTAAACCATGGCCGAGGTGATACTTGAGGTGCTCCAATCCAGCCCTGGCTCAGGTTTCCCAGCCTGCCAAGGAAGGTGCAAATCGTGTATAAACAACAACAGAAGCAACTGTAAAAAACTCCTCACATACATACACCTGTATGCTTTTAGTAGATTAAGCATCATTTTAGCTAACAGAAAACTACAAGTTCTGTACAGGTTATTAAGAGAAAAATAAGATGTTTCAACTGATTGCAAAGCCATAACTACGAGGTGACCAGCTGAGCCATGGCAGAATGTAAGAGTGTGGACTAGTAGCTACATGGCATAGGTACTGTATTGCTCAGGATACAGAGTCCCAAAAATTTTAAAAGGGAGCACTCTCCTCAAAGATGCAATGAGAATGTTAATTATAATGGTGCAGTCCTCTCTAGTGTTACTTTAAAAGCAAGATTTTTGGTAGACTTCAAAGACAAATCTTGGAAACAGGTTAATTCAAAGAATCCCACTTTAAAATAATGAAAAAGGTTTCTCTCCAGTCTTGCCTGATTGTGATAGAACTTCAGATGGGAGGTTTTAATGATGAAATAGCATCTGGCTTGGGATGCTTCTGACTAGAGAGAAACAAACATTGTTTTAATGCGATTCCCCTCCCCCCCCCTTCATTTTTACTACAGAAAGGTTGTCTGGCTCCATCCTGACATAAATGTAGCATTCTGCATTGCACAGAAAAGGGAGTCACCCATTGGGCCAGTTAAATCCAAACATGAACACAATTTTAAGTTCAATTCTTCGTTTCCTCTGGCACCAGAAAGAGAGAACTAAGCACGTAAACAGTTCCATCACATTGCCTAAAAAGTGTTCCACTATAAGAGAAATATATACCGTGCGTATTTCTGGCTTACCAGCACATGCAAAAAGAGAATAGAAAAAAATAAAAAGAAAAATCACACCACTCACAAGGTACATATGCTTACCTAAATCTACGAGAAGGAGAAAAGAGTAAAAGGTTATTTATCAGAGAGTGATTCCCATGAAGAGACATTAAAGCAAAGCATAAGTTAGTTTCAAAAGCCAATACACATCGTAAGCATCTCTTTTATTTGTTGTAATATAAAGAAGCATACATCATTCAGTTCTTTTAAGTACAACTCAACTAACAAAAAAGATCAATTCCATGAACATGTCACAACAGGATTCATTACATTTTGCTCTGCTGGTATTGCACTTGGAATGGTTTTGAAGTAAGGCACAGTAAAAACAAAGTCATTTAGTGCTTCTACAGCAGATGTCTTTTTTTATACACATGCTACATGACGTAAAAGTACTTCTTCTAGCTTATGTATATACACACACAGGGAAAAAGAAAAAAGCATGCACTGGAGGATTTAGATTTCAACATATCTTGTTTCATAATATACAAATAAAGTAGTTTAAAGATGTAAACAAATTGCATGCACATAAACTAGAGCAAAATCTTAATACAGTATCTGAAAGCTATTATGCTTAAATAAAAAAATATAACTTATTAGTACTCAGGTTTATGTGCCATTTTTGTCCTGTAGTGATTAAAAGTTTGGGGCTGGGGGCAGGGAGTTATGGGTGGGCAGGGAGGATTTTCCTGGTTTTGCTGGTTTTATTTTTTTGCTTTGCAGGTTGGCAGCAGTACATTGGTAAAAAAGACAAATATGGCTTTTGCAAAACAACGTATAATGAAAACATGAGAAAGCACAATTGCATTTGGGATCCAGCATCCTGGTATTTTCCAGTCAGGAACAAAAAAAAAAAATCAATATGATCTACGCTTTGAACTGGGAAAGCTATGCATTCCAAAAAACCTTTCTAAAGACATTTAAACTCTACAAAACCCAGACACTTTGTCAAGTGTAAACTCTTAAAAACTAAACACAGAAGAAACTGAATGACTCAAGCTTCGCTTTCCACTTCAAATACTACTGAACAGGTTTATCCCATGGCTGCGATAGCTGAAGTGCTATTAGATTGTCCTCAGAATTAACTAGATGCCAGGAGTGGGCTTGCTTATTTTTAAACAAGTACATTAGAAATTAAGTAAATTAACTGCATATTTTTTGGTTTCACTTTATCTTTGGCATAGGATACGCCATTTTTCAAATTAAATACAGGACATGTACCACTCTACATTCCAACATATTATGCTGAAAAGGCACATTTGCTGCTGCCTGGGTGGCAAGGGAAGACTTCTTATTTTGCAAAAGGCACGGTGTTTAGTGCGACATTCTTTCCCCCTTCCCCAAAGAGTGTTTAGTTAGACCAGGTACAGTTCTACATAGCGGCTTCCCAGGAGCTGTCCGTTTTTCTCAGCCACTGCTTTCTTAGCTAGATCCAGGCTTGGAAAAGTCACCAATGCCTCTCCACTGGGCTGGCCGCTAAAGTTGTAAAGCACGAGGATGGAATCTGCGTGGAGCTGCAATGGTACAAGACGACAAAAGAAAAAACCTATTAAGACCAGACACGACACCTGGAAATGCAGTTTTTAATGCTGTGCATCTCGTTCACTCCACTCTTGTGTCTGTGACAAAAAGATTCTGGATGTGACAATAGGAAGGAGGAGAAGGAGCTGAAGATTAAAAGCTTGGCTTGGAGAACAGCAGCAGCTCTTATTCCACTGTTAGTGCTGAACAAAATGATGTAGACCTAATTCCATGCAAAGATTTTGCTAGAGAAGTAATTCAGATTAAAGGTTGACAAGGAAAGGAAAACTTAGATGTTAATAAAGGGTAAATGGAGCAAGAAAGTCCAGGCATTCAGTGAATAGTTCTTGTACTACATGGACTACTGGCCAAGTGACAAAGGCTATAAGGCATGTGAATATTCACATGCAAAGTTTAAAAAAAACCAAAAAACAATTTTTGTTGTTTGATAGAGCTGTATGAGAGTTCAGTGTTGAGAGGATGAGCTGAACTTAACACAGGTATACAGTGCAAGAAAGATTGTTCAGTAAAACGAAGTAAAATTTGGTGCAATCCAACTGAATTAAAGAAACCTTTATTGTAATTTTAACAAGGCTAAGAAAAAAAAGCAGAATAGCCAGTGAGATTATTTAGTCATTGGAGTTGATTTCAGAGTGCATTTGCCCTTTGAATCTGCCTTTTAAGAAGTCACAAGTGCTGAGTTTAAAGCCGACATCTCTGCCCTGTAGTACCCCAGCCATTCCTCACAACGTGCTGGAAGTCCTTCCAAGCTAAGTTCGGAAGCCCTATTTGTTGGCTAGAAATGGATGTCGGTGAAGTTTCAAAACCAAAAGTTGAAGGATCAAAAGCTCAGCAAACACAACTAGTTTGTTGGAGAAATCAGTGCCAGACAAAATATATGGTCTATGCTGGAAAACCAACCAGTTTTATGAGTATTAATCCAATTCAACTTAAGTTCATGTGATTTATGTCCTCATGATTTTATAAAACATTAAAATATTTAAGAGTTTCGCTTTTTGTAGAATTTATGCATGCCTGGTATACTGCAAGAATATCAGACTTCTCAGTTATTACCAGCAGCAGTTTCTGATCAGCTTTACATCCAAACATATAAAAATAAAGAAAGTACATGCCAGAGCTTCACTCACCCAAACATTTAGCAGGCAGTAAAAGTATTCTTAAGATATAAGCAACAGTACACTTTAGAAACTAAAAGCACGTGTAAGACAGTTAGTATGGACTTCGTATCATTTATTCTCACAGAACTCAGGTTAGTCAAGAAATAGCATGCAGAAAGACATTCAAAAGACAAATAAAACATCATGCCTGAAGCCCAGTTCAAGTTCAGAAGTAATCTTGGTTTATTTCAGAGTAACACTGTGCTCAAAGAGAAAGTTGTACACAGTTTGGGTTGAGCCGCAAATCTGAGCTAAACGATGGTCTGCAGGTCTTTGCTGTTAATCAGTGTGGGATCAAGTAATTTAGCACATCAGTCCTGAATGTCAGTTTAATATTGCAGTTCAGAGTCAGCTGAAAATACACATGGAGCACAGTTAGACCTCTGAGTACAGAGGAGAGTTTTAAAAAAGTAGTTCAAATGGCAGCCTTGGTGTAATACCAGGGTAAGGATCTGGAAATTCATGTTATAAGAGCTGTGCAGAAAGTTAGCAGAGAAGTCTACACATTCTGCAAGCAACATAATTTAAAAGGGTTAAATAAAACCCTTCAGTTTGATTTTCATACACGCTAGTTTTAGATTCTTATTTATATAGATTTAAAGGTAGAAATAGATTTTCTTTATACACATATACTTTTTAAAATACAGATTCAAATCCATACAAATCTTTTTTTCTGGATATTTTGTTCTAAAAAGAGTGTTATCTGTATGATCTGTTTGTTGGACTGCTTAGAAATCAGGATGACTTACTCCATGAATCCATTTATAGTCAAAGACTGTTTCCATCTCATACATAGTAGAACCCTATTGCTGCTCTGGTTTTCCAGTTAATCTGGGTAAAAGAAGAGTGCCAGACAGATTGTCCAAGGTCACAAAAATATGGAAATGCTCAGAATAGTAATGGGTGTTCTTCTGTACACCAGCAGACCATGCAGCCTCTAATCTATCTTCTCTTTCACAGATCTAACAGTATCCTGAGAAACCAACTGATTTGAAAACAACTGAGTTGATGGTGATTATGTGAAGATAGCTTTATCTATGAAGGTACTTCTATCAAGGCACAGGATTTGATTGTCATTTTTTGTACTGAAAGTTTTGCATGTTTAAGGAGGAAGGTCACAAACTCCACATAGGTCACAACAAAATTTCTTTAAGAATTGTGTGTTAGTGCCAAAAACGTAGGGAAGTTTACCATTAGCAAATTTAGTTAGTTGCATTAGAAAGTCACTACACCAAAGAAACCATCTTCTTAAAAAAAAAAAAAAGTTCACATTGCATTAGGGAGATCAAGAAACAGAGAAATTAATCTCTATATAGCTATGTGATACAGAAAAGGGAAAGCTAGAGGTTTGGGGGTTTTTGCACGTGCATTTGTGGGCGCTCTGTAGCCATATCAAGAAAAAATCTTCTACTGCTATGCTAAAAATAAAATACTGGACTGAAAGCTTCACGTGAGAAACAAACACTAATAAACCCTTCTGGAAGCATCTGAGCAGAACCAGGCAATCACACTACCTCCACCACTGCTGTCCCATCAAATACAGATCACAATTGGCCTGTTTCTTTAGATTAGGTGATTTTTTTAATAGGACAAAAGCACGAAGTTTGAAGCAAGGATCCCCACGCAAGCTAAAAAGGGGAAAAAGCCATAAGCAAAAACCTCTGTATTACCAAGCCCTTCGTTCCCTTCCCATTCACCACTGGAGACCCAGTTTCTGCCAGTTGCATCTTACCTTCTTCAGAAGTTACAGTGAGTTACAAACAGACCCACTCTTTCGGTGCTTGTAACACACTCCTTGCTTGATCGCTCAGCTGAATAAGGCCATTGTAGTCATCAGGTGCATACTACAGTACAAGTGTGATATATGATAATCAGCAAGAGAAGGAACAGTTCTGGTACAGCAAGCCACACAGATGATCATTTGCAACCATAATTAAGAGCATCAGCTATAACAACTGGCAGGAGACAGTGTATTTGACAGACACTATTTTTATGCAAGATAAAAGAAAAATACATTAACTGAATGACTGGTTGTAGAAATAGATTTAAAGTAAATGCATGTGGTGAATATTCTAAACTGTGTATTTGAACTGTTCCTTATCAAGAAAGGGAAATACTTCTGACCATGAAGTGCTCTTCTTTTCCTTCTATTCATGAGACACCAGCATCAAGCAACAAAACTCTTAATTTTGCATAGTTGTACTTCCAGTAATGACTCTCACTGGGACACCTGTGCATCTTCCAGCATGCATACTGAAGTGGGGGATTAGAAGTGTATGGATCTCATTGACATCTTTTATGCAGTCATGGAAATGAACTGCAGCTTCTCTAGGATAAAGCAATAAACACTTCAGCTGCATATAATACTTGCATTACATAGACTACACACCAGTGTAGTTAAAGAAAAACAATGCCCCAGCATGAATGCACTTCAAAAATAAAATAGCATTTATACTACTATAGTATATTTCCGTATAGGAAAGAAACTATAAAGTGTAACTGCATCATGATAAGTTTGTAGTAGAAGAATATTAAAATAAAAATAGTGACTGTACAGTACAGTCACATCACTAAATTAAAATTAAAAACCCCACATGTGGATCAGATCTAAGAAACATTTGAGATTCTGAATCTGAAAGGTAATCATGCATACTATTGGAGGGCTTGGTACAAATATGAAATCTATAGTCAGTAAATATATCTTGGGGAATATGAAACATTGTTTTGTATCTATCTTATAATCTTTCCAACATTACATATCCTAGAAAGGGACTGAGCATACTTGCACATGCTACAAAGACTACTGAAGTGGCTCCTGTAATCCCTAAGACAAAATGTTTAACATAACCCAAGTTATAGAATGTCCTTTCAGTGGCAAGAAGAGTTTCCTGTCTCCTCCCAAAATGGTTGTTTTGCACTAATATTTTAGAGGATTGCCAAATGCACACAGTGTACACATACTATCCTGCCTTCCTTTGATATTACTATAACACAAAAAGTCTCCTGCCAGCTTAGGGAGAAACAGGTATATTTGGGCATACAGGACATGTTGTATCCATCCCAAAGTGAAGTTGAAAAGAGAAAAAAAAAAACCCATCACAGTATACACCTTCTACAGAGAACAATAACCAAGAGCCCAGAGAACATAAAAGAAAAGAACCTCCCAGAATTTTTACTACTGAATTCTAGCCACCTTCACATCTAGACCCATGCCATTAAGTAAAAGACAAATATAAGAAGTATTTTCTAGATAGTCTCTGCCAGGGCAACCAGACCGTGCAAATATTAGATTTATCAGTTCCCAGACCTGCCCTTGAAACAAATCTACAAAATGTAAGTTTACTCTTCGGAAGGAATGTCTCAAGATAGTACATACTTTAGATTATCAGTAGATGTACAGTAGGTAAAGGTCTATATTCTCTTGTGAGGGACAGCGTTTAACAGATTAGACTTGAAATGCATAAACAATGAGGAAAACATGAAAGTGGGAAAACTACCCTGCACAGAAATGTCAAAGTTGTCAGAGCTTAGGCCTAGGCAGAGAGAGAGGAAGAAAGAAAACTCAAAATACCTAGCAATAGAAGCAACTTCTAATCACAAGAAAGATATGTGAGAGACTGCAGTTAATTAAAACAGAAGTTGTGGAACAGTACATTCTTCAAACTTACAGATTTCAAAAAGTAAATAAAGTGCTATTTTTAAGCCATTACTTAATCTATGAAATACAATATCTACCAAAGTTTTCCTTCATCTCATCCTATTAAATTGTATACTCTCACATGCTCATAGATGATGAGCAGGGGAGACCTATTTCCTAGAATGACTGAAAGAGAATGCAGAAATAAATTCAGACAATAAAGTAATTTCTCTTCTCCCCTTGAAGTAGTCATCAAGTCTAGCTCAGTCTAATAAGAAAGATTGCACAGAATACCACTGTTAAATTAAGAGCTCCATTAGAAAAGTCAGCCTCAGAGTTAAGTACATCAAAATATGGTTCTCAGCATATGCTCTGGTGCTATACTGACTTCTTCCAGTGATCAGAGATGGGAGCTAGGATCAAGAAAGATGGAAACTAGGTATGGAATAAGGTTTGCATTTAGAACCTAACCTAGGAGAAGGAAGCAAAACAGAACCTTTGCAAGTGGTTTCTAAATAAGATTCTGGGGTCAACTGTTAGCTCTACGGCAGGCTACAAGATGGCAGGAAGAATATGTGTATATACTGGTGAAAAAACCCACAGCTGACTGGAACAGAGATTACATTGAACAGTGAAGAATGGTG